TGTGTTCAAATTACCCCACACTACCCTATGTATCAAATTCTGTGAGATATGTGTTGGACATTGCATGCTGTGTCACGGCTGAGGATCATACAATAGACATCGCACAGAAGGCTTTTGGCACATTTTCATTTCATATATATAATTGAAACGTTTCCAATTCCCGATGACAGCCCTGTAAATTACCTATTCACACTGGGTCTTTCCGCCCCTATTACGAGCTATCCTTTGGGGTTCCGTCAGCCGTGACATGTTCTATTTGAACAGAACTCGCTAATAAGTCCGTCTGCGGGCAGCCGTGTGTGTGTTCGGGAATTACCTGTGTGCGCTGACGGCCGCTCATCGGCTGCTCATTATTGGCTCTCGGCTGTCAGTGGTGTTGACGGCCAGGGCCACGCGCCCGGCCCCGAATGGAATTCCAGCAGCCGTCCGCATACAATGCAGCCCACTGTGACGTCAACGGCCAATGTATGACGCATAAAACGGGTTCAAAAATACTGAGTGAGAATAGTTTCCTCGTGGAAAGTTAATGAACAAAATTATGAATGAAAATATTCGAAGAGAAAGTCGAGAAAAGTAACAAGCATTTTGCAACGAAATAAGAAGTAAATACCCATCTACGGTTTAGATATAGGCATAACATTGCAGCTAAATTTAGTTCCTCCTGCACCAGAGATGTAGATTTGAGTGAGTTTTGTAGAGTTCCGATCCTACCTGACGCAACTCAATCGAACATTTCCTTGTCCCGCCGCCACGTCAACCAATAACTGGAGCCCACATCAAAAGCCTCATCCTCGGCAGCTGAGTCTGGTAGTGGCACCTCTCAATGTGCATCGCCTCCCGCTGAGTGCAGGTGACCTCTCTGTCGGCCGCTCGAGAGTACAAGGAAACCCTTGTTCATTGGAGAGCGTCCTCGACCGTGCCTGTCTCTGCCAGCGTGCAGCAGTAACAGTGCAGAAGGCGGTGCCGGCCTCTGAGCAGCATGCTTTTAGTACACACAATTGACCATCGTGTTATATGTGATGAATTGGGCGCACCAGCGCGGCAGAAAAGCATCTAAAGAGACATTGAACATTAAGCAGAACATAATTCGAATTTCGAAGTCGAAAGTGTATTTGTGAACATACAGTTAAACTAACTGCTAACTCCAAATGAGCTTTCAGGCTGCTTTCAGACTGCGCACAATGCAACGGGCCATAGTCCAAGCAAACATTTGTCACCTTGATTCGATCTCAGCCCGACAAATCACAATACAAGCACTGGTCGTCGGTGTATGAGTGGTCTCCGTCCTTCCCTCGTCCCGCTCGCGGGCGCATTATGCCAGCACAGAGCGGCCGCCGCGCCGGCCGGCTGCCTTGTTTGGTGTGATCCCGCCGGTAAATACGGGAGCGGCAGCGGTCGGGTGCGCTCCCATCGACCCGGCCCAGGTGTCCGTATTGAGCGAGATGAGAGGGATGGTAGGACCACTGACGCCCCTTGGCTCGGCCTAAGATCTTCGGCGCTACACCGACTCGGCAGCATTAACTGAAATTAGAGCCGGCAAAATATGTTGCTATGCAATGAGGATGGATGAGTATTAGTTTTGAAGCTTGGCACATTTTGCAAGTTAGGCTGTGTCGGTAAATAATGGCAGTGCAGGATCATGGGCGCTTCGTTTGTGCATTGTTATGCTCTTTTCCTTAGAAGAGTATTAGACAGACTGATGCCCACATTTTTTACAACTGCCTCCTTACCTACTTTCACAAAAATATACAAAGTGCTATTGTAATGCAGTTGCAGTGTAAGCGCTTCTATAAATAATATCAAACATAGCATTTCCCCAGTAATGATTAGAATTTAAGCGTGAGTCATTTGTTTTTCATCAGTAATAACGTTTGATTGCTTATTGTTCTATCCTGTAGCGTTCATTTTATCGGTGTAGCGTTCAAGCGCAATGATGCCATTCTCTATCGATCCCATACCACGATCAGTACCTAATAATTTAGGAACGTAGCTCTTTCAGAGTCGAGAATCAATTAATGTATCTAGCAGTCGTTTGCAAATAGTTATTTAATCGATCGGTATGCCTATGCAAATGCAGACGACACTGCTTTTACCTGTCCGAAGAACGTCGCGGTCGCCATGTTTTCACTGTTCCCAGCATGCTGTTGGAACACACTTGCCTGACACCACGTGTGTCGGAACAAGGAGTCCTCTTGCTCGTAGGACAAGGCCGGGAGGTCATAAGCGTGTTCTGCTCCGTTATCGATCAAACCGCTGCCTCACCACGGGACACCTGAGCTCACCCTCGGCGACCCAGAGCTCGTGTCTGAGCCCCTACCCTCCCCCTCCCCTGCCCAGCTGACCACTTCCTGTCAGCAACACGTGATCCGGAGGCGGTCAGGTGACCTGGGTGACCTTGGATCGATGCCCCGCGGCGCGGCGGGCGATTCGGGCGTGGAAGGATCAGCCGGTCGCGCCGACGCCGCTGCAGACCCGGCCCGGTCACAGCCAGTTGCCGGGTCAATTGAGTGTGTTTGGAGGCGGTATCGGCTCTGTTCGAGATCGCCGCTCCGCTAGCAGGATGATTGGAAACAGAGCCCGAGGGAAAGGGTACGGGAGCAACGAATTAGCACGCGCCGCAAAAACGAATACTGTTAGTTGGACCTTATTGTTCTGAAATGAGCCCTTCAACATCCCTGGTAGTCAATCATAGCATTGAAGATGGCTTCGCAGAAAAACCTTTTGCACACCATTCTTACGAACAACGAGCCTTGCGATCAAATGGTTGAGTGGTTTTACTCAAATTCAAATTTTAGATGTGGCATGATGAGCATTAATGTAAATGCAAAGCCGTGTGGACAAATGAAGATGGAGAAAATCTGACAGATAGAACTTAGCACTACTTAGCAGTCTCGGGAGCGTCTTTGATATCGAAGAAGAAAAACGCCTTTTGCAAGAAAATTTCCGGAAAATACCACTAGCAGGTCTCTCTGACAAAGCAAGCAATACGATAATGCATAGACCCAAAATAACCAAATGCTTGTGATGAATTAAAAAAGATCGTTTTATAATAGCATTGTCTGATTCCTCACGATGTCATATACAGCCCAGTGCATGAAATGATGCTAAATAACTTCGTCATTACTTGTTCACAGCTTCTCAGACGGTCATTCTTGCTCCCCTAAAATTCACACAGATTTTGTTGATTTTGTGGATTTTGTGTTAACTTCTTCGAAAGCATGCATAACTTGACATACATGCATTACTTGCATTCATGCATTACTTGACTCCACTTACACTTGCATTCATGCATATCATAACTTATGGGAAGTTGTGAAGAAGTTTGTAGAAAAACGCGGTGAAAGGCATTATCGCTGTGTATTTATTAAATACTTCAAAGCATGTAATCATTGGTCTAGTGCAGATTTTTACACATCTTATCAGAATTGTGTACAATTAAACAATAACACCTCTTCAGGCAGGGCCTGTATCCCAGTTGTCGCGGACGCGCATCGTCCGTTCCGCCGAGCGCGGGAGCCTTGCGGTACAGCCTACCCTGCCGGTTTGTGAGGCGCGAGTGAGAGCCGTCGCACCGCGAGCGCCGAGCAGACAGCAGTGCCGTTACGCTGACGCTGCTGCACACATAGACACACTGCCGGTGCATCGGATAGTCAAAACGATGTGATCAATTGTGAAAAAATAGTGAATGAACAGCTTTATTGGCGATGTGCCTTATTATCTAACTTATCTTGTTCCTTTCTGTTGTAATGAAAATCTCCCGCCGAAACGGAAATCAATGGCCGATTTTACATCGTAATACTCGTAGCTTTCTATGCACGGGACCGCCCCGATATCTAATTTGAGCGGGGCCCACTCCTAGCTCCCCTCCCCAGCTTACCCCTCAGCACCGCCACACCGACGTCAAACAGCTTATTGAATTTCCGCTGCGCTGCCGAATAACGCTTTCACACATTTGAGCAGTTTAAGCCAGTTGATTGGATTTCGCTGGTTATTAAAATGTTTGGCGTGCGTCGCAGGTTTTAGAGTTCACGCTGGTGGGAAATTAGCGGGCGGACCCACGGTGGTAAGCAAAGTTAATGTTGAATTACAGAGCACAGCTCTGAATTGAAGCCTGAGTGAGCTGAGAACTTAGCTAAGAACTAGGAGAACCTATTTCCCCACCATTGCGAATGGTTGATTGCGATCAGTATTCAGTTTTTTTTTAAGTCTATGAATCGTTTTCCTTTACATTCAACGACAAAGGACACAATGGACGTGCAAGAACGCACAGCATAAATCCAAAAAGACTAAGTTTAGCGTACGTCTTGGAAACTGCGACCAAAAGTTTTAGACAAAAAGTGGGCTGAAGCCTAATTAAGCGTTAACAAAATGTGAAATCACTCAGATGTCTACGGAATATTTTATTTAAAGTATAAAGAGCGAACAGTTTGTCAAATGTCACCCAAATTCGATGTCTTGTCTTCTGCTGCACTATGTCTGTCACATGTTAGCCCGATGCAACACTTTCAAAACAAATCAAACTGACTGCTGAAATGAGTGGGTTGTAGCGTCCGTTTCTGCCCATTTGACTGCAGAGTGCAGAGGGCACAGTGTGTGACATCTGCTTCTTATACAGTTTCTGACGGCTGCATCTGTCCGTTGTAAACTGTCGATTGTTCAGAGTGTGGCTCTCTGTCCATTGTGAAGTCCCCAGTGTGTGACGTCTGTCTCTGTTCGTTACTGAGTCTCTCAGTGTGACGTCTGTCTCTGTCCGTTATACTGAGTCCCCAGTGTGTGACGCCTGTCTCTGTCTCGGTTGGCAGAGGGCTGTCCGTTATATCGTCCAGTGTGTGACGTCTGTCTCTGTCCGTTATAGCGTTCAGTGTGTGACGTCTGTCTCTGTTCGTTGTTGAGTCCCCAGTGTGTGACGTCTGTCCGTTATAGAATCCCCAGTATGTGACGTCTGTCTCTGTCCGTTATATCGTCCAGTATGTGACGCCTGTCTCTGTCTCGGTTGGCAGGGGGCCCAGCCGCTCCGAGATGAGCGGCAGGTCTGAGGCTGGCCGCGTCACATGGAGGTCATCCGGGTCGTGGTTATCGGCGCGCCGCAGGTCGGCAAGTCGACCCTGGTCAAGGTAAGACCACACCGCGCCCGGCGGCCGCCCCAGCTGAACAGACCGCGCCACAATGCCGAGCTGACCGGCCGAGCGGAGAATCTCAATGGCGGTGACGTCACAGACGATGGCTCGGCACGCCCCCCAGATGGAGCGTGTGATAGCAGCTCGCCAGAGAATGGACCCGGAATAAGGGTGTCAAAAAGTTAGCCCGATCATCAATACAATCACTGCTCAACTTCATTTCAGACCCGGACACTTCAAAGGGCTTGCGTCAGGAAGTGATGCAGCTTAGTTACGGAGCGAGCGAAGCGAGCGTAGTCTTTCCTTAGATTAACGGAAATTTCTGAGTATGAGCGGCCGGCCGGCCGGCCGGCCGGGGCCGTGCGGACGCTTTTGCGAGGCTTATATATCTCAGCAACCACTTGACCGATTTACACGCGGTAATTTTTGTAGGGTAGCTTCATTCCTTCTACCAAGTATTGGACTATTCCCGATGCATGTGGGTGACCGCTTTTGCACGTGCCACGTGCAAAACGAAGAGGTGTCAGTTTTGTAATTGTTGCAATATCTCGGTAACTACTTGGCCGATTGCGCTGAAAGTTGGCGTGTAGGTGGCACCCACTAGGCACTGCATATCCATGTGCCAGAGTTGGGGTGCTGCTGCACGTGCGCACGTGCAGGGGTCATTTCCAGATCTCGAGAACGGCTGGACCGATGGCGCTCAAATTTGGTACACGGTTAGGGACCAGTTAGTAGGGTGCCGTGCACAAGTCAGTTGGGATCCATTTTCATGGTGTGTCAAAAGTGGAAATAGCCGGTGCGCCGTCTGGCAACCCGGCAGCCCGCCGCCATAGGGAAATTCATGCTTTTTGTCGCTTTTTCGCTCCCTATGAGTCACTTGATCTAATTAGAGCTTAACTAGGAACGAGGTGGGTCACTTGGACGTATTCGGGAGCCGAATACGGTGTTTTGAAGTCAATACCTGGGAAACCCTACCCGCCCAATGCGAGTTTTTAAGAGTCTGCATGCCCAAATTAACGTTGAGCGTGGCCGTTTTCGGTCGGTTTTCCGCGACCTTGTGGCGAAATCGCCTTATTTATTCAACCAGGGTGGACTAATTCGCTTAACTAGGAATGAGGCGTTGAAGAGAATTATTCAAGGAATAGAGCTGTGCAAAAATATTTTTTGTATTGTTAAAACTGTATCCGCCCTCGAACGATAAATATTGTTGACCCATCAGAAACACATCACCTGGAAGGCGTTTGGACTTGGCTGGATCTAATATTAGCGAGTATCTGCTAATGCAGTTTCTTGGCTTACATAGTACGCACACAAGCATACATACTTCCTGCCCTTGGTTATTCCTCACTTCAATGAAAATTTTGCTATAATACCTATTCCAAGTAGTTAACAGCTTTTAGTGCAGTGCCAATTCGGAACCGTTCAGCGCCGCCAGTCTCCCAGGCGGCGCGTAACGGCCGCCGCCGGCCGCCGCGCCGCCGCTCTGGCAGGGTGTTTGACTTCATATCTCTGTTGCTAGAAAAGTTGTGGACCGATTTACTTGATTCTTGCATGACAAGATCCGCCATTCAATTCTTAGCAGATAACGAAAATTTGACGTCAATTGCACGATCCGCTGCCCATATTGTGGTACTGCCATCTATTGACAAGGCTGGCGAACTAAAGCCGGGCGGCTATTTCCACTTTTGACACACCATGTGCACGTGCGCACGTGCAGGGTGCCGCTCCCAGATCTCGAGAACGGCTGGGCCGATTGTGCTCAAATTTGGCACATCGCTAGAAACCGGTCAGTAGGGTGCCGTGCACAAGTCAGTTGGAGGTACCCCCTCGAAATTTCGCACGTGCAAGACTCACCCCCTCGCTCGCTCCGTTAGTCGCCTCAAAAGGCGCTATACTGGTTTTATTTACATTGGAATGGTCACTGGTATTCAAGAGGCTCTGAACTCAGGAGAGAACAAAAGCGAACTTAACGGTTTGTTTAGTAACGTTGTGATAAATCGCAGCATTGCACTATTTTTGTCTTAGTTGGGCTCTTCGTATGTCGATTACAGCAGCAAAGTGTAGGCTGTCGGTCGGTGTCGGTGAAAAGTCGGTGATAGGTGATCTCGGAGCATCTTATCGAAACATCCAAGTAGCATAAAAAGAACACCCATGTTGGTTCGATCGAGCCACGGAGCGCAGCATTTATTACCCCGCGGCGCGGCGGGGGCTCCGCACCGCGCCGCTCCAGTCCGGCCACTCGCAGTGCCGCCCACAGGCCAGCTGACAAGTTGGTTCATTTCTCGTCACGTCGTCCGCCGCATAACTCAGAGTGGCCGGCGGGCACGGGCCGGCGCCGCGGCCAGGCTGCCGGCGGGCACGGGGCGGCGCCGCGGCCAGGCTGCCAGCGGGCAAGGAGCGCCCCGGGAGACGCGTGTACGATAAATGGGCCACCGGTTATGACCGGGACATGCATCACCCGGCCTCATCCGAGAAACACGACCAGCGGCATGTGAATCGTGACATTTTCAGGCTCCGTGAAACAAGAAAACTCTCAGTTTGCTTGGGCACAGCTCTGGAAGCACTTCATACAGCTCAGTCTGCAAAGGTGAAGACTGAACATTGAATGGATTCTGATCTCATAGTTTATTATATATTAACACATGGTTTCCCGTGTGTAAATGGTTTTAACGCACGACGTGGATGGATTGGAGCACGAGTGTGTTAATGCACGAGTGAAACGAGTGCATTAACGCACGAGTGCTCCATTCCATCCACGAGTGCGTTAAAACCATTTATGCACGGAAACCATGTGTTAAACTAATTAATACATGCTTAACGGTGCGAATTTAAATTAAAATTAATCTTAGTCGATGACATTAAAAGGGCCATTTATGGGAATTCTTCGAAGAAAGTCAATGACCCTTCCGAAAAACTTCAGTCGAGAAATTCATCACTGCACGAGCGTGCACCAATTTAAATTGGTGCACGGCTACCTTCGAATTAACGCACGGTTAATCTCCAGTGAACGCACCGTAAAGTATGTATTAATTAGGAATTAACCAACCCAGCGAAAATTGGCACATAGTTTTATGTAGCAAGATATCAAGCAAGTTGGAATAAAAACCCCTTTGATGATACACCCTACAACCCATCACTAATTTTGACATAAGCGCCAAGCAAAATGTCACCATATACAATTGCTGGCAAAATCTGAAGAACAGGGCACGGATCTGATGTGGACATTTAGGGAGGTATACCATGTCGGGATAGACATTTTTACCTCGATATGCATTTGCGACTAAGAAATGCACACTTACCACCAACATACCGTAACTTGTAACATAAACGGGAGCCAGCGGCACGACTTCTGTCGCGGGACGAATTTATCAGGGGGCTCGTAACCAGTGATATAGGGTGACATAGCTGGATGTCGCGGGACCCCGATGAATTGTGACCCCCGCGATCTGACCTGACCTTTACAGCGTGATCCCCCAGCACCAGCTCGTTAACTGGAAAGGGAAATATTAAATAGTTCACGGGAGCGGCCCATTAATTATTCCATCCAGACAGAGCTCCGTCGTGAGATGGATTGTCCTGTCGGTGTGCCGCAGGGCGCTCTGCTGTCCCACCCCTGAGATCCGACTGATGGCGGCACCGTCATTTACACCGGCGCCACTGATCAAAGCTGCCGTATGCAACGTCACGTCACCAGTTGAAATGGCCATTTTCCGACAAAATTGCGTAATAAAACAGGGTCCCGGCGGTCGTTATAAAGCTGGGAATTGGCGTGGTCGGCCACTGCACGGGCGCTGTTCCGACAGTGAAATCAGCCGTAGATTTCCCAGTGGCATGGTGTGCAAAACTAGGCAGCACCATTAACGCTGGCGCCAAAGGATCAGCAAATTTTTGCCTTGATTGAATGTGAAGGTACTAGGTATAACACAAATCACTCACAGCTCACTTGAGCAGAGCTCAGGCTAAGCGCAAAAAAGCAAAAGAAAAGCAAGGTTATAAGATGAAAAAAATACGTAAAGTACGATGCAGATTTCCATGCTCGTACGTAGCTGCGTTTGACTTTCTTTTTTTACAAAAGATGTGTAATTAACGTGCGCACATAGCCGACCGTGTGCGGCTATGTGCGCACGTTAAACTTTGGACTCCAAATTCTGCCATAGAACCGAATTGCGCGATCGGAGGGTAGAGGGCAGGGTCAACGCAACGAGCTTCGCTTAGCGGGGGCTCTGTCTTTGTGAATCCTACCATTCAAACTGCTGGGACTATTTTTTTTTAATGTGCCCATATTTGTTTCACTTATATTTCATTTGTGTACACCAATTTCTCCAATCATAGCCCAGCACCACTCCGTTCTCCCTAAACCTTTTGAATATCTTCAAATCCCGAGATTGCCTTTGTAACATCACTTGCATCCTTGTCCACCTCTCGAAAGCCATTGTGCTCTTCGAAGTCGTTCCTGTACAGACTGCTGCTCCCTTACAGCTACCCCTTTGCAAGGCATTGCCACCTTCGAGCACCCCACCGTAGCCTCTGTGCAGCCCACGTTTCCCACTGTCTCGCTCTGGTCCGTCCAGCTGACGCCCGGTATGTGCTCGGTGTTGCAGCAGTTCGTGCAGAGCGCGGCGCCCGGCCGGCCGGCCTGCTCGCTCTCGGACGGCTGTCCGCGGCACACCTACTTCCCGGCCGTGCTGCTGAACAGCCGACTGTTCGCGTTCCGGCTGCACGACGTGTCGGGCGTGCGCCGCTTCCCGGCCGGCGCCGACCAGGAGTGGAGCCAGTGCCGCGCGCTCGGACTGCGCAGCGCCGCCGCCTACCTGCTCGTGTTCGACCTCACGTGCGCCGACTCGTTCCGCTACATCCGCGCCATCCGCGAGCAGATGCTCGAGTCGCGCGACATGCAGCGCGTGCCCGTCATCGTGGTGGGCAACAAACGAGACCGGGTGGCGGCGCGCGACACCCGCGACTGTCGAGACTTCTCGGCCACCGTGCGCAAACAGTGGAAGTGGCCGTACGTCGAGTGTTCGGCCAAGTTCAACTACCGCGTGCTGCAGGTGTTCCGCGAGCTGACAATGGCGCTGGATGCGCTGCGGCAGGAGGAGCTGGCGCCGGCCACCGAGACGAGCGCGGCCGCGGCGCGCTCGGCCGCCGACGGCGGACTCTGCGGACACTGCGCCATCCAGTAGCCGGTGCCGGAGCCGAGCCGCGGACTGCCAGCCACCAGCCCTTTTTTATCACTGTTGGCCGCGAGTGAGGTGGTGCTAGTGTGACGACGTACCGTGTACAAGGCGAGCAAGTGCAAACCGCGGCGCGCAGCGGTGGGGGCGGCGCGCACCGCGGGGCAATAAGGAGTGCAGTGCCTCCGGCGGGAGCGGGTGGCACCACGGGGGCGCGCCGGCCGCCGCGGCCCAGCCCAGTCTTTCACCGGCGCCGCCGCGAGACGGCCGACCGAGCTCGCTGCGAGTGACCGCCTCTGTCGCCCTTCCAATACACGTCAACCTGTGAGCGGGCGGTGTTGGACCGGTCTCACTGGGTAGCTATGAACCAGTCACCTGAGATCACCGCCGATTCACATTTCGCGCCACATTGCACATTAAAATGTTGGAAAAAAAAACTTTAAAAGAAAACGGGCCCATGAATAATATGTTTCCATGCAGGGTTGTGCTCGACTCAAAAAAATTTGCCGACTCGACTCATCATTCAACTTCAGAAAGCCCTGACACAACTCTGACTCAAACAAGGAGTTGATTTTTTCCCTTGACTCGACTCATGACTCAAGCGGCTCAATGAAAATATGAGTCGACTCAAACTTGACTCAAATTTTTTGTTGAGTCAAGTGAGTTGACTCAAAATTGACTCAGATAAAAAACGGCAGGGTATATATATATATATATATATATATATATATATATATATATATATATATATATATATTTATATATATATATTGTTTCTAGAAAGTTGAGTCAGGTGACTCATGTTTCTAAATGTTTGACTCAAATCTGACTCAACTCAACACCTTAATGTTTTTGTCCGACTCAACTCCGACTCAACTCAACAGCTCAACATTTTATCCGACTCGACTCAAATCTGACTCATTTGAGTCAGAGTTGAGTCAAATTTCTGACTCGACTCATGAGTCAAGCACAACCCTGTTTCCATGTCTGTAAAAACGCACAGAAAATGACTGATAAAACTGTAGCATGTACGGCGTGATTGCGTTAATTCAATGTCGTTTCCAGTTCATAATTCTTTTGCCGATCTCGTGGAGACTATTCAATTTTTTTAAAATAAATTTTGTCCGAACCTTTTGATAGGAAGGATTCACAAGGACAGAGCCACCGCTAAGCGAAGCTTGCTGCGGTGACCCTGCATGCCTGCTAAATCTACCCTCCGATCGCGCAATTCCAGTTCTATGGCAGAATTTAGAGTCCAAAGTTTAACGTGCGCACATAGCCGCGCACGGCCGGTCCCCTCACCAACTTCTCCTGGCTACGGTTTGCCACCAACCGCAACCATACCTGTCAGGAGGCCCCGATAAATGTCTAGCGCCCGTCGCGCTTCGAACCCGGACTGTTATAACCGGGAACGCGTGCTCTCACCACGCGGAGTCCAACGCTCTACCAACTGAGCTACGGGACCGGCAATGCAACCGAAATCAACTCATAGCGGCGACGCGGCTATGGAAGGTTAGGACCCTGCCACGGCGCCACCGAACGTGACCGTGGCTAATCGCCCCGTCGACAGACGCAGGGCAGACCCGGGAGGGGTGTCTGGAAGGGGCGCGGGGACGGGCGGGCCGTCGACGGAAAGTGGCACGCTCACCAGTCGTCGACAGCGACGGACGGTGAACGGAGTGAAACGCGAGAGGAAAGCGAGCCAAGGAAACCGTGTGGAGTACCAACGGCTACGAGGAGATTCTGCCCAGGCACACCAGCGCCGACATGGCAGGTGAGGAGCATCGGGTACGGCCCGGGGGCACGTACCACAGGGGGGTGCGGTAGCCTACGGCGACATCACGAGGATGGCTGCTGGGCGACCGACACGCGTCCATTCAGAGGCGTATTAAGCGCGCACGCACCGCTTAGAGAACGGGGAGCCCGGGAGGTGCGCCAGGGACGTGCAACATGGCGTGGCCGCCTTGCGAGCGCCCGCCACCCCCCACTCATGCACTTACATCAGGTCCGCCGCCGACGCCTCGGCTACTCTGCAACTCATGCACATACATCGGGTCCGCTGCAGAAGCCGCGGCTACCCTGCAACTCACGCATATACATCAGGTCCGCCGCCGACGCCCCGGCTCCTCTGCTACTTATGCACATACATAAGGTCAACCACCCCGCAACTCTGCTCGTATATCAGGTCCGACGCCGACGTCTCGGTCACTCTGCAATCGCATGCACCAGGCCGCCGCCAACGCCGCGGCTACCCTGCATCTCATGCACACACATCAGGTCCGCCGCCGACGCCTCGGCTACCCTGCAACCTACGCACACGCATCAGGTCCGCCGCCGACGCCTCGGCCCTCCGCAACACGGTAAGCACATACACTGGGTCCGCCGCCGACGCCTCGGCCATTCTGAAACTCACGCACTCACATCAGGTCCGCTGCCGACGCCTCGGCTTACCTGCAATTCGCATGCACGTACCGCAGGTCCGTCTCCGCCGCCTCGGTTACTCTGCAACTCATGCACATGCATCAGGTCCGCCGCCGACGCCTCGGCTACTCTGCACTGCACATACATCAGGTCCGCTGCCGACGCCTCGGCTACTCTGCAACTCACCCACATACATCAGGTCCGCCGCCGACGCCTCGGCTACTCTGCAACTCATGCACATGCATCAGGTCCGCCGCCGACGCCTCGGCTACTCTGCACTGCACATACATCAGGTCCGCCGCCGACGCCTCGGCTACTCTGCAACTCACCCACATACATCAGGTCCGCCGCCGACGCCTCGGCTACTCTGCAACTCATGCACACGCATCAGGTCCGCCGCCGACGCCTCGGCTACTCTGCACTGCACATACATCAGGTCCGCTGCCGACGCCTCGGCTACTCTGCAACTCACCCACATACATCAGGTCCGCCGCCGACGCCTCGGCCACTCTGCAACTCACCCACATACATCAGGTCCGCCGCCGACGCCTCGGCTACTCTGCAACCGCACATGCATCAGGTCCGCCGCCGACGCCTCGGCTACTCTGCACTGCACATGCATCAGGTCCGCCGCCGACGCCTCGGCTACTCTACAACTCATGCACATACATCAGGTCCGCCGCCGACGCCTCGGCTACACTGCAACGCCAAAACGCACACACACACCCACACACACCCACACACACACGCACACACACACACACACACACACACACAAACACACACACACACACACAAAACGAAAAACATAAAAAAGAAGAAAAAAGAAATGCATAACAAAACATACACAGCACCTGTCGCCACGTGGCACGCGACAGCCCCCCTCCGATAGAATTCAAACCATACACATCACTTTCCAGGGTGAGGGACGCCCAGCGGCGGGAGAGACCAACGGAAATCACAGGACAGCGAGAAAGCCGACGGCTGACGTTTACACCAATGGCAGGCTTCCCTGGCTTCCCGCTATGTCAGCACCACCCGTGCGCACAAGACAGCGAGCTGGAGACTGTTACGCGGCACGTGCTCCAAAACAGCTTGGCACCGGCTTCGCAACGGGCTTACTGCAACGGCCAGAGGCAGTACTACTATTTCTGCAGACGCTACGGCATTCGACCCGTACCGGCCAACACTGACACACTGGTCTATTTCGTCGGCCACCTCCGACGGCGCGGAGTGGCCGGGGCTACGGTGAGACAGTATCTATCAGCGGTGCGCCACCTACACGTACAGTATGGCGTACCTTACGCGGGCGGTACGTCCCCGGTGGTCAGCGCGGCACTAAGAGGCTCACAGGTGCGTGGGCCAGGACACGGCACACGACGGAGGTCGCCAGTCACCATTGAAGATTTGAGAATCCTAAAAGGAAGATTATGCCACATTCTGCCGTCATACCGGGACCAGCTATGCCTGTGGGCGGCTTGTACGCTAGCGTTTTACGCAGGGCTGCGGTGCGGAGAGTACCTGTCGACAGAACCAGGGCGCGGCCTACGGCGCTCAGACGTGACGTTGGCCTCAAGAGGCCAAGGCTGCACCATCGAACTCCGCATACAGAAAACGCGGCAGTTCGGACCCCCAGAGATGCGGCACCTGCCAGTAACAGGCACCTCAACGTGCCCGGTAAAAGCAGTTACACGATACTGCGAAGAGCGGGACCGGACACCAGGACTGCGCAGCGGTCCATTATTCGTTTTAGCATCGGGGACACCCCTCACGAGACGTACGATGTCGGACGTGCTGCGACGGGCGCTGGGACCCGGCTATTCCTCACACTCGCTGCGTATAGGTCTGGCGACGACCGCCGCGGCAGCAGGCGTGCCAGACACCACCATACAACTGTTGGGACGCTGGACCAGCTCCGCATACGGGGGTTACATACGAGGACAGCGCGGCATCGTCACGGCGGCACTGCAGAGCGTAGCCCGCTATCACCCCATGTCAGCCGAGGCACGGCACAGCGTAGCATACCAAACGAACAGACACTAGCGAGACGATTTCGCCTGGCCCCGACGGAACTCTAACAAGGATCCTGTTTCCAGATTTGCGGCAGCTAAGCCCGGCTAGCTCTGAGCAGGCGGACATAGACGCCGGGCTGCGTGCCGAGCTAGACGCCGCGAGCACCGCAGCCGGCACACGGGGAGCCCACGGCCCGCGCGGGGGCCTGGCCATCTGGCCGCCCCCGCCGACCGGCGCGTGGCCGGGCGCGGCGGCACGGCCGCCCCCACCGACCGGCGCGTGGCCGGGCACGGCGGCACAAACACCGGGGATACTGGCGGGCGACACAGCCATGGTGCCGCACACCACCGTCGGCCCGACCTTCGGCCAGCCAAGGCCGCCCGCGCCGGCCGCCTGGCGGGAGGGACCATCGGTACCGTCTGCGCCGGCCGCCTGGCAACAGGGGCAGACCGCCGCGCCGCCGGGGCCGGAGGGCTGGCAGCCGGGACGGTCGGCGACCGCCACCGCCTGGACAGCTGCGGGCCCGCCGGGACCGTCAGCGGGGCCGCCGGGGCCCGTAGCGGGGCCGCCGGAGCCCATAGCGGGGCCGTCGGGAGCGACTCCATGGCAGGCGAGAACGAATGAGGGGCAGCCCCGGCCGCCGGCAGACGCGGGACCGACGGGAGAGCGCGAGCCGCACAGCGGAGGATGGTATCAGGTTGCGGCGGGCGGCGCCGCCACGCCGCACCTACACCGGCCGCGAGGGGCAGACGCCGAGCGCTCGCCCCGAAAACGAGCACGGTCTAGCGGGGACAGCGAGCGACCCCGCCGCCGCCGCCGCCGCCACCGCCGCCACGAATCACCGAGCTCGTCGGACACCAGTTCCGAGGAGGAGGAGACGCCCTGTCGCAGAGA